GCGATCCAGGGCCTGATTGGCCAGAGTTGGATCCGGTTCTGTACCCTGATGACCGATGGCCCGTCAATGGATTCCCAAGGCAAGAAAGACCCGCGGGGAATTGGGGGACTACTAGGTCGTTGAGGGGGCGTGGTGGATCCCAAAGGGGAGGTGGACCAAGGGGCCATGGTCTGGGGGGACCTATGCTGGACCCAAATGTATGCCGAAGGTGTGGAGGACGAGGACATTGGGCTCGTAATTGTCCTACGCCATGGCCACCAGAAACAGGTTATCCATCATCACCCCAGGAACAGGGAACTTTTCGAGGCAGAGTGGTCCAGACAAGGGGACATCAAGCTCCAAACCCAGGCATGGTGCCAGCGGCTCAGTATCCCCTGGGCTACTGGGGCGGAGAGGAGGAGCTGTACTGACGGGACCCACAGAGACCAGACAACATGGGAGTGGCAGATCCAATGTTGTCAATGAGTGTGGAAGGAGATGAAATGACCTTCCTTGTGGACACTGGGGCTACCTATTCAACACTGAAACAAAAACCAAGCAGTGCCACACTTTCCAACCATGTGGTCAGTGTTGTGGGGTTCTCTGGGGTACCAATGACGCTGCCAACAACCAATCCAGCCCTGACGGTGCTGGGAAAACAGACATTGAAGCACAGCTATGTGGTGTCTCCCCATGTGCCTGTGAACTTGATGGGCAGGGATCTGCTCATTAAACTGGGGGCCACCATCATGTGTTCAGCTGATGGACTAACAGTTACACTTCCAGGAGGAAAAGAGTTTCCGTGCCTGGGGACATTTTCAAAGAGCCAGTACTTGCTGAAAGACTGTGAACAAACGACCGCTGACATCTATTGGGGTCGTATGGTGGAAGAAGGCATATTAAGACAATATCAGTTGTGGAAACCTTGGATTATGGCCTTGGCAGTCTTCACTCTCCCCAGGGATCCGTTCCATGTCACCCTCTATTATGATAGAAATGATGATGAAATTTACAGGGACCTGTTCCAGTCTGACCTTGAAGGCCAGACTTGGAATGTGTGTTCTCAAAACATCTATGTCGGTCCGGAGGGCGTCGCAGCAGCAGTAAAATTAACCGATGAACAACGGCCTTGGTTCAAAATGGGACCTGATTCAGTGCCCCACATAACATTGGCGGTCCATGAGAGTCATCAGGCGAAGGAGCTGGGAACAATGGTCAAGAGAGCCCTCGAGGAACCTGGCTGGCAAGCTACTCAGATTCCAGACGTTTGGTACTCGCCAAAATGCAAAATTTATCGTATCACTTGTCAATCAGAGGACACAGTGAGGTTGGAGCATGAACAAATCTCAAGAATCCATGGGAGAGAAAGAACAGACCATGCGGATGCAGTTGGCGCACTTGCGACTCTTCCTGACACCTTGTGGTCAGCAGGGCCTACGGATGTGGGCCAGGCAACGTGTTCGCCCGTTTTATTCCAGCTGAAGTCTGAAACGCCAATTTGGAAACCACAGTAAATGGTAAATGGTAAATGGCCTGCATTTGTATAGCGCTTTTCTAGTCCATAGGACCCCAAAGCGCTTTACACTACATTCAGTCATTCACCCATTCACGCACACATTCACACACTGGCGATGGCAAGCTACATTGTAGCCACAGCTGCCCTGGGGCGCACTGACAGGCAAAAGAGAGAAGCTGAGGAGGGAATTGCAGAAACCATTGAGGGGCTATTGAAAGTAGGGGTGCTTGAGCCCTCTCAATCCTACTGGAATACTCCTATTTTGCCAGTAGAGAAGCATGGGACAGGAAAGTACAGAATGGCACATGACTTAAGAGCCATCAATGCCATTTTACGTACTGACACGGTGCCAGTCCCAAATCCATACACAGCATTGACGGCATTAACCCCAGACCAGAAGTGGTTTACATGTATTGATCTAGCGAATGCATTTTTCTGTCTCCCATTGCATGAGTCTCTGAGGGACATTTTTTCATTCACATATGGGGGACAACAGTACAGATACACAAGGTTGCCACAAGGGTTTGCACTTTCCCCTGGCATTTTCAACCAAGTGTTGAAAGAAGCTTTATCGCCATGCCATCTCCCAGAGGGGTGTTCACTAGTGCAATATGTTGATGATTTGCTCATTGCAGCTCCGTCTGCTTCGGCATGCACGGCAGCTTCACTTACCATACTGAAGAGACTTGCTGAGTGCGGTTTCAAGGTCAGTAAAGAAAAGTTGCAGTTGGTCCGACCAGAAGTAACATTTCTGGGCCGTGTCATTGCTCACAAATCAGTGGGTCTGCTAAACACTCATCGTGATCAGATTTTGACACATCCAAGACCGCGTACGGTTAAGGAGCTGCTCTCATTCTTAGGGTTAACAGGATACAGCCGGCACTTCATTCCAAATTATGCAGTAAAAACGGCAGGTGTCAGAAATCTTAAGGCTGAACTGCCATGGACATCGGCCACTGAGTCGGCGTTTATTGCATTAAAACAGGACTTGTCCAGATCGGCTGATCTTGCTATCCCTAATTATGAACAACCCTTCTATCTTGATGTTTCTGAAACACACGGGATAGCTAATGGGGTGTTGTTTCAGAAAAAAGGGGGAGGAAGAGATGTACTTATGTACGTCAGCATCAGGCTGAATCCATTAGAGACAAGGCACCCGAGATGCACTCAGCATGCCATTGGGGTGTCAAAAATTATACAAAAGACAGCACATATAGTGAGGGACCATCCGTTGAAGGTGCTGACCACCCACAGTGTGGTGGCATATGTTAACTTACAAGCCTTCACCATGACACCTCTCACACAACAGAGAGTGTGTAAAGTTTTAGACGCTCCTAACTTGACCTTCACACATGAAGGAATTAACATGGCAGATTTAATGGAGTCAGGAGGAGAACCTCATGACTGCACAAAGAGAGCTGAAGTGGACGAGAAGATAAGAGAAGACTTGAAAGCAGAACCTCTGACAGGAGCTGAAGATTGGTTCACGGATGGATGCTGCTACAGGGATGACGAAGGATTAAAAGCAGGCTACGCGGTAGTTTGCAGGAAAGGGGCTGCATTTGAAGTGAAGGAGGCTGGAAGACTTGAAGGGCAGCAGTCAGCCCAAAGAGCAGAAGTAATTGCTCTAAGTCGAGCTTTGAGACTTGCAAAAGGAAAAAGAGTCAACATTTACACGGACTCAGCTTATGCCTTTGGAGCAGCTCATGTGGAGCTGGCCCAATGGAGGAGAGCAGGATTCAGGACAGCAGATAACGCACCAATCTGCCACAAAAAGGAAATGGAGGAACTTGAGCAGGCCTTGGGAGATCCAGAGGAGGTGAGCATCATAAAATGCAAAGGTCACTCCTCAGGGACGGGCCTGATGGCCAGAGGAAATCAGGAAGCCGATCGAGCTGCAAAAGAGGCAGCGGGTTATAAAGCATCACGACAGATGGTACAAATAACGGTGGAGGAAGAATTAGGAGTTAACATGCTAGAGGAAGCCAGGAAGGCCCAAGGGGAGGCCGTCCCAGAAGAGAAGGGGATCTGGAAGAGTCGAGGAGCCTGGGAAGAAGGAGGTCTCTGGCGAGGACCTGACGGTCGACCAGTGTTGACAGCCAACTTGGCAAAACAGAAGATTGCCGAAGCGCACGGCCTTGGACATGTAGGTGTCGCCCAGATGGGGAGACATCTGTGCCATTGGTGGCATCCCTTTTTGAAGGATATGATCAAGGAGAAGGCCAGGACGTGTCTGATCTGTGGGAGGCACAATCCGAAGCCAGTGATTAAACCAGAGGCAGGTAAGTTCCCCATTCCAGAAAGACCAGGTGAAGAGATTGTCATTGACTTCACTGACATGATTGATCCAGGCCCAGGAGGAGTTCAATATCTGCTGGTAAGTGTAGATGGTTTGACGGGCTGGCCTGAGGCATGGCCAACCAAGAGGGAGGATGCAAAAAGTGTGATTAAGTGTTTAATCAATCATTACATCCCCCGCTATGGTTTCCCGAAGCGGATCAGGTCCGACAATGGGACTCATTTCAAAAACAAAGATTTGGCAGAGGTAGAACAGAAGCTGGGGTTGCAACATAGATTTGGCACGGTATATCACCCCCAGTCGCAGGGAAAGGTAGAAAGAATGAATCTAAACCTGAAGAATAAAATTGCTAAAATTTCTGCTCACACGGGGCTAAATTGGGTAGCAGCCCTGCCAATTGCATTGATGATAATAAGATGTTGTGTTAATCAATCCACAGG